TTTCACAATAGTGTCGGGTTGACAAGGCGATCTAAGTGGACTCGCCATGTCCGAAGTGCTCTGCTAAACAGTTATTATAATTCTCAGCAATTGACTATAGACGTGAAGCATCCCCTGACGTTTCGCCGACAATGCCGGCATCGTCAGTGAGTTCTGCCATTCTTTTCCATATTATAACTCGTCAAAGAGACAAATGACCTGGCCTTCTGCCAAATGGTTACGGCATCACTCCTTCTTCTGTCCTGGTACGTCGCTCATCCATTTAATAAATTCTGACTTGCTAATATTCTACTCCTCTAGAGTTTGGCGAGTTTAGTGGGGCGTTACCACACCTGCTTGTTTACCTTTCCTCCCCTCCATTTGAGACCTATCCGAATCTCTCTCTTCACCCCTATAGTTAGTTTATTATTTTCCCCGATTGACTTATTTCATGCGAAGAAAATTTATGTTTCGAGGAATCTCTTGCTTCATAATTGTTGAGCTTACTTCCATTTCGAGTGAAAATGTTGGGTGAAGAGATTCGAAGGTAGGTTCCACCAGAAGACGGAGGTGGATTCCTTTTGACCAGCTGTCGATTAGCTTTACTGGAAGATTCATGCTGACGCTGTTTCTGAGGCAATCTACTTCGATTCTGGCAAAAAGGTGCTAAGCTTTCGTCCGTCATTTGACGAACATCATAAGAGAGAGATAACATCGTCACAAAAAATTCAAGCTAACGAGTCAAGAAAACTGTTATATAATCACGGATTCCAGTGGAACACAGGCCAGATGCACTATTCACACTTAAAGTGGAATTGTAGATTAAATAAACATAACATAAACTATGATAGCTTCTCACCTTAAGTGGCCTATGGTGATAAAGATATTATTAAAGAATTAAGGATAATTCTTAAAACTACTCACATCTAAAATAAATAACTTCGTTGAATGCAAGTAAAAACATATTTCAGTCGGTATCATGCATAGTATACATATTACTCCAGTTGCAATGTATATTATATGAAATGCATTTATCCTTTTTCCTTTAGAGTTATACCCTTACCGGTAGTTTAATTCTCTTACACTCATATGAGAAGACCTTATGTTCCCCTTTAAATTCACATAAACTAGCTTTCCAAAATGTTATTATCCTCCAGAATAGATTGCAGTTTCGACCTCGACTAGGTCTTATCAACGCCCACAGCTGGACTCGAACCATGATCGTGCAGCATAAAAGTCTCGGTACGTTAGCCACTACGCCACATTGACACGAGTGCCCTTGGATCACAAGTCAGCTGTGAATTTCGAGCAAGGCCAGGCATTTTCCAATATCACCTGTGGTGAGTTGTATTCGCTATAACAAGCGACTACATTACGTATTTTTCCTTTATAAACATGTTTTCGAGACAACTATTAAATGGCCTGCCACAAGCCTTCAGCATCACCCATGCCTTGGCCTAACCGAGCAGATTGCCTAAGCTCTGATTTAATTCTTGCAGATATCAGGCATTGTCTCCACGGGCCATCTCTCTTATTAAGCCCGTGAACCCTAAGCAAACTGTGAAAATTTATCTCTGATCTCCTGCCACATCTCGAGTGGATTTTCAGTCAATTTGGCTCCGATATACTAGCCTTAATGACGAATTCAAGGTGACGGTTGTGAATATTCCTCTTTATATTCGTTTATCAACGCCTTTTGATCGCATGGCCATCAAAGTTGTAGTTGTTTCTTTGAGCAGAATACACTCACTGAGAAAATTTGTGCAGGATTTCCCAATGATCATTACACGCCTCTACATTAAGATCCCTATTGAAGTGGGTTGACTTCGTTGTAGCAGCATGGTCTTGTTGTCAGGGTGACGCTCAACACAAATAATATGGGAGTGGGTTAACCTCGTTGTCGCAACTTGGTCTTGTTGTCAGGGCGACTATGTAACGCACCTAGTCCAAAGTCGTCTGCCATAGTAGTTGTCATGATTCCCAGCATCTGACAGTGGACTTGATAAATCCTCTAACGTTTTGCCGGCATCGTAGTCGGCATCATCAGTGAGTGCCGCCATTCTCCGCACCAAGCTACGAACTCGTCATAGAGACAAGTGAAGTCAATCCCTCGACAAGCGTTCTGCCAAAAACAGAGGCCGCAACATCTTGGTCTTCATATATTCTAAGATCCATATTCTTCTAATTAACAAGTGATCCTTGATCCAGATGTCTCCTTTTTGCTGGTTTTGCCGTATCCTTGTTTTCACCGAGTTTACTTAGTCACTAGGCCAAGTTCTCGATAGCTATCCCAGCTTAAGTCTCGGGTTCATTAAATTTCTTTCACCAAGAATGTGGATTGCCTCCCCACTCTTTCATTTCCTTATGTTTTCATCGTATGCGCTCCTTCTTTATGTTACCTTCCAATTGCTCTCGTGCAATGTGTTCTGCTAATTATACTCCTTGGATATCCATTTTCCTGTAGACCCTTTGATGTTCCTTGTTTCTCCGATATAT